CACATCTTTGTAATCTTTGTAGTAAATCCATGTTGCTGCTGTTCAGCAGTTCAAAAGTTATATACCAAACTTTCAGTTGCCTTTTTTGTAATAATAGTCAGAATGAGTTATGCTTTCATTTGATACAAATGGAGTGTTGATAGAATGAAGCAGAGTTAAATTTCACTATGTTTAGGTCAGAGTATTCTTAGGTTTTATCACTTTAGCATTCTTTTGTGGTTAAGTTTTGTTATTTCCTTCTGTCAAAATTAATTTCTACCAGGTTTGAATATTGTTTAATTTAAATTGTCTCAGGTTTTGTTGAAGACACTTATCTAGACAGCAAAGTACAGTTATTTTCCCAGAGAGTTGAGGATGACTACGACTGAGACAACTGTGATGAAACACTTCTGCACACCTGCTTGTGGATGAATGGGAATGCAGTCTGCTACACCTGATTTCATCAGATGTTCTATTATTTGTTACAATCTCTGCTGGTTTTGTTTTCTATAGATAACACAAAAGAATAGTGACTGTTAATACTAGGAAGTTCAGAAGTTTTTTACCTTGTTTCATTTTTTGTCACTGAGACATGAATATTTTGAAAAATATTATCTCAGACCCTTATTGCTGATATTCATTGTATAATGTGAATTTATGGAATTTTTATGAAAAATTATGGAATTTATGGAAATTTTATGAGCATTATTTATAGGATGTTGTTGTATTTATAGCTGGCTTCTTGTATATTTTAACATCTCTTTGTGTAATTACTTTTAAGATGTGTCATTTGAGATCTTTTATGTATCATTGCTGAAAGTCAGTTACCCTGAGAGAAACTTCAGATTAAACCAACTGCTAGATAGTTCCATTGGTCTGTTGCCTAAGACTTCTGATCATTTGCTTTCCACAAAGGCACTTCAACAGTTTGCTGAGCTTTAAGCATCTTACAGCTGCTATTATCAATAACCTTGTTTTGAAAATGAGTTAACAGACATATTTCCATTTTAAAGCCTAGGCCCTGGCCAAGCCCTGACTTTACCTGGATGGAATGTTTGCCAACAGATCCAGATGTTTTCTGTACTGAATTATGTTCGAATTGCTTTTGACTTGGCAACTGAACCCTATTGGTATGACAGCTGGGTCAGTTTTGGAGTGGGTTTGGCGAATCATTTCTGGAGGTGGTTGTCCAATCCTTCCTTGATTTTGTTGGCTGTTTGCAGACTATGAGATGCTGGTAGAGTGTTTTAGAGGTTAATAATAATTCATTATCACATATGTTATTAATAATGTTTATTATCTGACTTATTTCTGACTGCTGTGGGTTTTTTGTTTATTATGCATATAATTTCATTTTGATATTTTTCATGTATATGATAGAAGTGCATCTCATTTTTAAAAGCAAAAGGAATCGATGCCCTAAGAACATTCAATTAATGCAATATGTACATTAGAAATTTAGATCACAATTCATTTTTGAATAATGAAATATATACATCAAAAATTTAGAAAATATTGTAAAATCTGAATTCCCTATTAAGTGTACCACAGCTAACACTGAATGATTCATCACCTATGACAGCTCTTCTTAGACTTTCACAGAGGTCGTATCTTCACAAAATTGGCTGTTTAGTGAAATCAATAGGAGAGAAAATTCTGCAGTATTCATTAATTACAATATTTTATCCTTTAGTTTATAAATTAACGGGATTTAAAATTGATCTTGTCTGATGAGGACAATTGTCTAAACACCGTTCACAAATGTCAAGCTACACTTATATGTATACATATACTTAAATTCCTTTATGCAGTGCTGATGGAGAGTAAGAAGAGAAAGGTTTCACATCCTTTTTGATGCATGATGAGGTAAACACTCATTTTTATGTATTTGAGCTACATTTTACTGACAGGTTTGAGAACTTTTTAAGTGTTGAAAACAAGGTACTTATAAGAAACAATGTTGTGAAAATCCTTAAGTGGATAAGCATAGTAACAGTGCCTCTCTGAATGTGGTTGGTTCAAATATCTTCAAAAGTCATGGTAAGTTTATCCAAAATCATTTTTATTGAATGCTATCACCTGTTATCAATACAACACTTTGCAATGGCACTGCTCAAAAACAAGTCAAGTAAATACCAACATCCAAATGTCAAAAAAAATCAAAGCCTACTTCCAACACATGGCATGGATGCCTGGGGCTCCATTGCTCAACAGAAGCTGTGTTATAAGAGGAAGTAGAAAAAAAATTATTTTTCAGACAGTCTGAACATTTTCATCATTCCAAAATGTTACATGAAAGAAATAAAATACAGACTGCATAGATTTTCTCCCAAAAAAATCATAGTGTTGGTGAGACAGGACAGTCATTTCTGATGCAGGAGAAAACTTGCATGTGTGCTTTGTATTCTGGAGAGGGGGTTTAAATTCAGTAATTTTTATTTGAAATTTGCTTATCAGTTGTGATCGCAAATGCCATGGGCCAAATTCAAGTATGGATGAAATTTCCTTTCAGCCAAATCTCTTGCTGTCCTGATCCAGTTACACCAGTTGCATCTATAACTGCAAGCCTCAATTATATAGATCAACTTTCTGAAAAATCATTATGAGCAAAGAACTTTTACAGTCATTAGGTTCAAAGAGCCACTTGGCTAATCTTGCCTGACACACATAAAATATCTGGACCAGATTTGTGTAAAGAAATTAAAAATTAAAAGAAAATAAAATTAAACAAGCTGAGTATGGTTAAGTGCCTTCTGAGACAAAAATATTTATCCTTTTATACTAAATGGGGAAAAAAGACACAGAGAAGAATACTTCAGAAGAGAATATCTTGAAGATGGTGCAGGGTGTTTTCTGTGAGCTCAACACCTAATATAGGAGCATCCTCATCACACATTATACTAGATTACAAGTGCAAGGACTCCATAAGAGTCTTCACAATCTTCACTATTATTTTGAAAAGGAAAGCCCAGACAAAGCTGAAGCTTCAGCCCACATTCTTATATGATGATAGATGACACAGATGCCCCTATATATATATGCCTAGTATTCTGTGTTGTTGCTCCTTTTGGTTAGTCTTATCTCCTCCCTCAGACTGTATCAATTACTTTGTCTTTCTTTCTTTCACACCTACACTTTCAATTAGGCTTGAACAGCTAAACCACATTGGCAATCAGGAAAATAAAAAACACTTATCTGAATCTTTGTGCAGCTTTTACTTGTTTCTTTCTCAAATATTTTCTTTATTTTGGTGAGGAGAAAACCCCACCATGGTGATTTTTTTTACTATGAGTTTATCCAGGCAGGTGAATCCTATAATATGAAATAACAACAAGGGCTATTACTTGCATTATGCCTTTGGAGAGAATAATGCAGTAGTAGTAAAAGTGGTTAAAGTAATCCTTTAACATTTAAAAGGCATTTACCCTTGGGGCAAATGAAAATATGGGAAGTGCAAGAACTATGAGAGTCAGCATAATCTATTTTTATTGCTTAATAAAAACAACCTTGCACATAAGTATTCCCAAACAAGATGAGGCCATAAATGCCTAAACACAGTACTAAATGAATAAAATAAAATATTATAACAATTCATAGGATTTTTATAACCCATCATCAGCATGCATAAGTATGTATCAGTCCACTGACTTTATTAAAATCAAGATTCCAGTCTCCCGCATGCTGTTCTACTGGCAAAAAAACATCACACAGAAGCAACAGATGGGGTGAATAAAAAAAGAAAAGAAGCTCCATATTGCAGAACAACCAACCTCTGTAAACCACAACAGAGGAATTGCCTGAAAGCACACAGGATGGCTTTGGGATGCAATACTAGGTCACAAAGTTACTTTTAAACATGAGACCAGATGCCCATCTATGTGTGAAGCAACTTTCAAGAGGAAGGAGGCAATATCTTCCACATCATCCATTATCACTGGAAAAAGAAGGCATTGTCTTCAGGGCAGCCCTGCAATACTTAAAATAAGGGGGTTTCCCCAGATTTTATCAGCACAGCTTACAAGGATTCAAGGACAAGCTGCTATTTTAATCACTGCAGTGGGAAATTGGACATGCAAAGGATTTGAGGATACCTGTGTTCCCTATTCTCCTTTTTCTCAGGCCATACACATTGTTATGATTCTCAGACATCTCTCCTGGTTACAAGGCCAAACATGAACATGAATGTTTCAAACAAACATTACTTTGGTATCCTTTTCTTATGCCAAATAATTTAGATTAGCTAGAGGAATGTCCTTTTTATCCTCACTGGTCCTTTATTCACTACAAATTTGTCATTTTCCATTGCATAATATTTGTCTAGGTTATTAACTCTACCCATACATAGCCAAACATGCCACAGTGTTGTTCACATCTCTGTCATTTGCTGATTCCTTGTTACATTAATGTGCTAGATTGTTAACCAAATGTTGGCGTTCACAGATTTAAAGTCATGACTGCACTTTCGCACATTTCATTGCTCAGAACTTAGGAGGTCACTGGAGTCCTAAAAATTGTGAGTAGTCAATTACGTTGTTTAGTTACAACTGAAAATTCTTAGCAGCCAGAAATTGCCCATTTCAAACTTCAAATTAATATTTTTTTAGCTCATCATTCACATGATTCCAAAAAAAATAAATTTAGTACTTACTATTCCTGCTGCTTTTCCCTTACCTTCTCATATCCTCCTTTATGTGCAGATTTATTAGTTCTTTAGGAACATGGAAAGAGAGGGTAGTCTCAGCCATCTGTTCCCGGATCCGCATCCACTTGTTGTCAGAAGTAGGG